AACGAAAGTTGCACATTTTGTGCAGAAAACCGGAAATTACAACTCAGCCAAGTGAATAAGTATATATGTATTGTATATGTATGTATGTATGCATGTGTAAGCGATAAATGCTGCATGTAATGCTTACCTTTAAATACCAGCAGGTAGAAAGCTTTAAATAAACTATAACGGTCCACCTATTTGTGTATACACGTTTGTTTGTATGTATGTATGTAGTATGTTTGTGTATGTATCACTGTTTGTATGCGCCCACTTGTGATATCCGTGACTAAAATGCTATTTATGTTATCTCAATTGCATGCACGTACACACATATACATATCGATGCATATATATGTATGTATAGGTATATGTATTTATGCACATCTGCATGTCTCTGTTATTTGTGTTTGTTAAGGTCAACATTAAATGGGCGTTTTTCAGCAGCAGCAGCAGCAACAGCAGCATCAGTAACACGGCACTATTTGCTGTAGCGTAGAAGCCTACATTTAGGCGTTTGAAAATTATGTTGATTAAAAGCATTTTCAGAATCATTGAAAATTTATGCACATGCTCACCCCCGACAAGCAAATTTTAAATATGTTCATATGTATGTATGTGTGGAAGAGCTTTGCATTTACATACATATATACACGTGTGTATGTGTGTATGCATGTATGTATACACATGTAAATGCTCACACACTTTTATTGGTATATAAACAAATACTCATTCACATCTGTCCTGAATTTTTTTTCATGCACATACATATGCATACATATATATATGTATTACATATACGTGTATGTATAAATGGTTGCTTGCTTCAAATGCCTGCCAGCTACATATGCGACAGTTATTCGGACTCAATACGAGTGTCTAAGCAGCAACAGCACTAACAGCAGCACCACCACAAACAACAACAACAAAAATAACAATATACTGCAAGCTGTAATCGACATGGAAAATAAGGTCGCCGGAATGTGCTCGTCGATAGCTGGCACAAGGACAAAATACAAAAATATAAAAAACAAAAAAAAAAATACAATAAAAAAAGTTAAAAATACAAATTTCTGCAAATGAGGCAAAGCTGATATCGAGTGGCGCCGAAGGCTAGTGATGCAGCTGATATCTATATATTACACTAGAGATGACAAGATTTATCAGCAGAACAGTGTGGATCGAGTATTTTGTCAGAAAACAATGAAAATCAATCGAGTTCTTACTCTGATCAATCGAAAAATTAATTGATGAATGACTACAAGAGGGATATTATCATAAGAAATTTAGAAAATAAAAAAAACTTGTGATCCATAAGGAGTCAATATTTCACACCTGAGATGTGATCGTTCACAGTGTATTAAAATGAGGCCTACAAATCTACTTATCTATCTAATTAGTCTTATCGTCATTCAATATTTGCATGTAAATGCTAACTTAGTCAATTTTAAGGCCATCGGGTGGTTTTTAAAAGTGTTGCTGTTAGACTCATATACGCTGGATATAGAATTCTTTCAAATACAAATTCATTTAAAACGGACTAAAAAGTCCTGTATTCACAAAAGTTTCCATCCTTCGGCCCCAGCGCATCAAATAACGAGCTATTTTTTCAGAAACTCTTTGAAAATTGATTTTAAATAGAGTGCCTGGGATTATTATGAGTTCATTACAAGAGAGATAATTTGCTTTTACCTTCCATATGCCATGCGAAGGTATCCAAGGTCCGCTCTAAAGTGACATGTTACTCAAATTATTTATATGTAGCTATTCTTTCTCTTTTTTTTTAAACTGCTGCAAACAACCGTTAGATGAACAAAACTTTTCATCCACTCCCGGCATGTTGCTCGACAAAGAGAATACCAACGAAGCGAGGAAAAAAAATCGCACACCAAATAGCCAGTAAAAATGCTATAATGAAATCGCGACGTCACATGCGATTCGCATAAATTTCCAAATACGAGTATGCCCTAAGCGTTTGCCGGCAAATGAGTTTGAAAATTTTCAATTAATTTCCACTTTTTTCCTATTTATACTTTTACTTTTTCGAATTTTCACCGTTTGCATGTATGCGGAGCGTATTTGTTGTTTGTTTTTGTAATAAAATCGTAAAATACCGAAAATTTATTATATTTAGACGTGTATGCAGGATTTATTAGAGCGTCATTAACGTTCTCTGGCCAGTGGGTACACACGTATACACATATGGCATGCATAGCGTGCATGAGTTTGTTAATATTACAAAACAAATATTGCTAAAATTATCACATAAATCTGCTGCATACCGAAGATACTCATTAAATTAATTTTCTTTAATTTAAATAATACTCAAATAATATGAATAAAATATACTAAATAATTTATGAGAAAAATTTAAATATTAAAAATCTAAATTTAATAAATAAAAATGAAACTAAATTAAATAAAATATATAAAAACAAAAATCAAAAATGAAATAATTTTAAATTAAATAAAACAAATGAAAAAAAATAAAAAAAAATTGAATTATGGAATAGAATAAAATAAAATAAATTAAATTTAGCGAAGTAAAGGAAAAAGAAAAAACATTAAGCAAAATATAAAGAAAAATAATAAATAGTAGCTAAAATAAAATAAATTTTTTTATTAAATTAAATAATTAAAACAAAATAAATTAAAGAAAAAGTTGATTTTCAATTGAATAAAAGGAAATTAAAATTAACTACCTAATAAAAAAAATTAATAATAATTAAGTTGAATTAAATAAAGTCAAAATAAAATAAATTAAAACAAAACATTAAATAAAATGAAGTAAAAAAATAAAACAAATAGAATAACATAAAACAAATTAAGCAAATATATATTAAATTAGGCAATAAAAACGTAACTAAAGTGAAATAAACAATTTTTTATTTAAATCAAATAAAACATAAAAATATAAATTAAATAAAGAAATAACATAAAATAATTAAATAACTTGAAATAAAAAGTAAATGAAGTTAAATAAAGTAAAAACAATATCAAATGAAATAAAGCAAAAAAGACGCAAAAAATTAAAAACCAAAACAAATAAAATAAAACAAAATAGAATAAGATAAAATAAATTAAACAAATATATATTAAATTAGACAACTAAAACGTAACTAAAGTGACATAAACTAAAGCATAATAATATAAATTAAATGAAGAAATAACATAAAAAAAATAATTAATTAAATAACATGAAATAAAAAGTAAATGAAGTTAATTAAAATAAAAACAAATTCAAAAGAAATAAAGCAAAAAAGACGCCAAAAACTAAAATCCAAAATAAAATCAAAAGAAGTAAAATAAAACGAGCTAGAGGAAAAAAAGTTAAAAAATATAAAAGATATTAAAATAAAATTAATTCAAATTAAAATAAAATAAAATACAATAAATAATGTAAAAAAAATAAATTGAAATAAACTTAAGTCACGACATTTAAAATAAAATGGAATGGAATAAATAAAACAAAGGAAAATTAAACTAAATAAATGAATTAATTAAATTAATAAAAGATTAACTAAAATAAAATACAATCAAACGTAATTAAATCAAATGACTTAAAATAAAAGAAAAGAAAATTAAACTCAATAAAGAAATACCAAAAAATAATAAAATTAAATAAATTCAATATAATACATTACAATATTGTATAATTAAATAAAATTCAAAAAAATAAAATCTAAAAAAATAATCAAATAAATATAATAAAATAAATATAATAAAATAAATATAATAAAATAAAACGCAAAATAAAATTACAAACAAAAAACTAAAATAAATGCAAATATAATAAAACAAAAAGAAATAAAATGAGATACATATAATAAAAGAAAAAAATTTTAATAAAATATTTGAAATAAACACTAAAAATTAAGTCAAATAAAAAAAATTATTAAAATAAAATAAAATAGGATAAAAAAAAATTAAATATGAAAAAGAAAAATGAATTAAAATAAAATAAAAAAATTTAATATAAGATAAAATTATCTAAAAAATGATAAACCAAAATAAATTAATTAAAATAAAATCAAAAAACAAAATAAAACAACACAATAATTGGACTTAAATTAAAATAAAATGTAAAATAAATTTAACTAAAATAAATATTATTAAATTAAGTTAAATTCATTTATATAAGATTAAATTAAATTAATTTAAATCAAAATAAAAAAATTTAAATTAAATAAACATAATAAAATAAAAAAACGCAAATTGGATTAAATATAATCAAAACGAAAAATTAGGGTAATTTAAAACGAAATATAATAAAAGAAAATGAAATAGATTAAAACAAAATACAATATAAATTATTATATAAACTAAAATAACATGAAAAATAAATTTAACTGAAATAAAACATTAATAAATTAATTTAAATGCATTTAATTTACTTTAAATTAAATTTATTTGATTTAAATAATATTAAATTAAATAATATTAAAACAAAAAAAATTAGATGAAATAAATCCAATAAAATGCAATAAAAGCAAAAAATTAAAATAATAAAATAAAAGAATATAAAATAAATAAAACAAAATAATAGAAATTATAATAAAGTAAAACCCAATAAAATAAAATAAAAAATCAAGTCCAACAAAATAAAGTATAAAAAATAAAATAAACTTAAATTAAATTAAGTAAATATAACCAAAATTAAATAAAATATAATAAAATAAAAAAATAAAAGTATTAAACCTCTGCTTTTCTAACAACAACAATGGTGTTAACCTTTTCGAGAATGCTACAATAATTAAATTATAATTAATTAATTAAAAAAGTAAAATAAAGTTAAATAAATTATAGCTCCAAGTCACACGGATAGGACGTGTTATTGAATTTACCCTGAAGACGGTTCCCGACGTCTAACCGAAATATATCGGGGCTAAGCCGACAAACCAATATTATGTTTTTATTGACCTCAAGCCGGCAAATAAGAAATTTTTTATTACACTCATGTAAATTTATATTTTTAATTATTTACTTACAAAACTCACCATTTTTATTTCATTCACTTACAGGGAAGTTCTTCCACAGTACCGCCACCGCGTACCGCCTTTCCAGGTGCACCACCACCAACTTCAGCCGTCGCTTTAAAGGGGGCCCCCAGGCCAGCTATGACTAGTCCAGCAGCAGCAGGCGGTTTAGCAGGTGCTCCGTATCGCGGTGCCAGTTGGACACCACAAGGTTACGCTCCAGCTGCCGCTGCAGCAGCTGCTGCTGTCGCTCAACAAGCCTATAGATATACAGCTCCATTGCCGCAACCAGCATACGCGGCTTATACACCGCATACAGCAACAACACCAGCAACAACTACGGTGAGTGAGGAGAAATCTAGTTTAGAAATAAAAAGGAAATATGATTTTGTTAGCATTTTAAGAGATATTTGGTTGAGAAAAAATATTCAGTACTGAATTATATATGCACGTCTGTGCCACAATGGGTTAAACGTCGTTTAAGAGTGAATACAAAAAAACTTATTACAAATGGCTGTGCAGAAATTGTTGCTAAAATGTAGTTATTTTAAACTCAAATTGAAAACCATAAGCTTATAAAAATATATAGAAATGCATACATACATACATACATTACATTAAATTTGAATATTTTTCAATTGAAATGGAAAATTGAATATTTCATTTTGTTGCTTTATTGCTTTATACAGCACTACATAAACATTTATTTTTATTCATTTCGGTTTTTATACTATCTATATATACACACACATGTACACATGTATGTATATTTGCATACGTGTATGTCTGCCATTGTGGTTTACTGGAATTTCGCATAAATATTAAAAATCATTTGACCGAAAAAATCCATGTGCTACCAAACCACCAACAAATAAATACACGCTCGCTTACGTATATGTGTGTGTGCACATATGTATGTATGTATTTGCTGTGGCATATCTACATATTCTTGTTCAAAAAAATAAAAAATAAAAAAAAAGAGCTTCGCTAAATTTATACTCACAACTCTGCCTTGCTCAACGTTGCCTGTTGCCATCCTGCTGTCGCAAGCTGTCGGCCTGACCAGGAAAAAACTCAAGCCATTGCCGGAATATACAATTTATTAAAAAAGTTTTGAAACTTCAACGCCCACACAAGCGCCCACGCATACGCGGAAATGTTGAAAGTCAAAGCAATTTCTCAAATGATCAGCGCCAACAGTTTCATAATTGCTCATTGTGTGTTTAAGCAGGAAAAAAAATATTTTTTTTTTGTTAAGCAGCGAGGATGGATTAAAGCGAAATGCATTTTAGAATTTTTTTAAATTAAAAACATACTAAGCTATCAATTATCGAATTATAATTTTTTATAGTACCGTCGCCGCCGTAGAGGCCACCGCTAGTATATGAGCTCTGCTATAAAAAGAGCAAAAATACCAATAAAATCTTTGTACTAGTAACTGCATTCGCCGAAGTATAAGGTCATAGTTTTCACTGTTGCTGCCGGTTCAAATGTAAACCTAACTTCTTGACTGAATAAGCCTACATCTCCTTCTTCTTCTTTATTGGCTCAGACAGTTATTCCATTAAAGGCGAGTTAACAATATTGCGGCATAAATTTCATCTTTTCCCTGTTTGACGCGAACTGAAACAAAGTACAGCCAGGTACTGCTCTACCTAGTACTTCCGACGGAATGAAGGTCTCCCTCTTTCCCTACTTCCACTGAAAACTTTCAAAACTGGGGTATTTTTTTCCACGTAAGCGACGCGACTTCGACAGCATAGCCGGTATTTCTTGATTCGCTGAACTATGTCAATGTCGCCGTATATCTCGTACAGCGCATCGTTCTCTATTCCAACATGTAGAGGTCCATAAATCTTACGAAGAACCTTACTCTCGAAAACTCCTAACGCTGACTCAATGGCCGTACTTCCGCACTACATAGCAAGACGGTATTGATGAGCAACTTGTAGAGTTTGGTTTTCGTACGTCGAGAAAGGACTTCACTTCTCCATTGCCTGCTCAGTCCAAAGTTACACTTGTAGGCAAGAGTGATTCTGCGTTGGATTTCCAGGCTGACATTGTCATTGGTGTTACTTCTGGTTCCAAGATAGACAAAATTATCTACGACTTCGCAGTTATGGCTGTGGACAGTGACGTGGGAGCCGATTCTCGTATACTGTCAGATCCATATCCCTCGCTTCCTGATCCAAACTGGAGAAAGTAGAGCTCACGGCGCGGTTGCTGAAGTCAATTATGCCGATATCATCGGCGTACGCCAGCAGTTGTACACTCTTATAGAAGATTATACCTTCTCTATTCAGCTCTGCAGCGGTTATTATTTTTTCTAGCAATAAATTAAAGAAGTCACAATACATGGAATAATACTGTCTGAAACCTCGTTTGGTATCAAATGCCTAGGAGATGTTCTTCTGAATCCTGACGGAGCTTCAGGTCTGTTTACACATCCATATAAAAGTTTTAGGGGCATACCAATTCAATCATGGTGGCGTAGAAGCAGATTCTTTTCATGCTATCGAAGACTGCTTTAAAATCGAGGAAGAGATGATGTGTGTCGACTCTCATCCAAGATTTGGCGCTTGTTTAATAACTGGTCCACGGTGAATCTACTCGGTATTAGGCCATTCCGAAGGCTCGGTTTCAAATCCTATTGTCGCTTCAACATTTAAAAAGTTCTAGAAAATTGACTTAAATAAGAAATTAAGATAAATTTTTCATTGCGGTCGCCCCTCAGCAGGAAATGTCAAGCCCACCGAGTGTATTTCTAGTATGAAATAAAGTTCTTTATAAAAAACTGCTCAGTAATTCGGAGGCGGCTTAGTATAAACTGCAAGTCCCTCCGTTTGTTGGAAAGACTACAATCATATGCCACATTGGGAAGTCGCCTAACCGAACGTTGTCCATTCTTATCGCTTGGCGATATGTTCTGGTATGCCACATCTGGGCTGGAGCTTTCTTGGTATACCCTGGGGGTTCCACATCCCACTAGCTCTTCTGTTCTACCTTTTTCAATAACCATCAATTTAGTCTACGGGTGCACATAAAGCGAGTCGATGTTAGGCCCTCAGACCACTAAAGACATGGCGTCCGTATATAACAACATGATCAGTTCGGTTTGTTGTCAGAAAATCAATACCTTTAAGTTAAACGAACGCTTAAGATAGAAATTAAGAAAGAGAAAGATTAATTTTATCATAAAATTCACTAATCTTCAAAGCAGATCCCAGACCTTAAAATTAACATCTGAGCATACCAAATGATAAATTAGCTGAATAAAGCAATTTAAATCACCTCCTCGACTTATGTATTTTAAATAAGCGAATAATCAAGAACCACTTTAAAATAAGGTCACAGCTGAAATTAGGGCAGCTTAGCATTTAATGAGCAACTGCTGCCTGCTTCCTGTCAGCGGAAATGCGTCGCCGTAATATCTATTACTGAGTTATGTGTATGTGTGTAGTATAAGTATCGCATGCATTAAGTACAAAATGTATGGATGTATGTATGTAGGTGTATATGTGTTGTATATAACGATTTCACGCAAAAATTAAATAAAGTCTATCAGACGCCGCACGCATAAGTACAACAAATGAATACAAATTAGGAATAATTAATCTTGAGCTCTGGTGGTAGCGCGCTGAATTATGCGCTAGCATAAGAAATTAGACAGGAGGAGAGGAGGAATGGATAGTGGCAGAGTGATGAAGTTAATTTCTGTGTGTTCAAATTGCCAAACAACCACATTAAGTATTTTTAACCTCAAAATGTGTGTAGCAACAAAAATGAAGTGGCCGGGTAGTGTTTGAGTAGCCGCTCAAGTGTCCGATTTTTTTTTTGTGTGATCTCTAATTTGTGGTATTTTTTGAATATTTAAATGTTAAATGTATGCACTTCAAGTTAATTAGATGCGAGTGGTTGGGTGGGTAAAACAGCAACTAAGGAAAAAAGGAACAAATTTAATTAAAAAAATCAAATATTATTACATAATTTAAATTATAATAAAAAATATAAAAATATAAAATAAAATGATATAAAAAAATTAATAAAATAAAACTAACATAAAAGAAGAAAAAAAAAATAAAATAAAATAAAATAAAATAAAATAAAATAAAATAAAATAAAATAAAATAAAATAAAATAAAATAAAATAAAATAAAATAAAATAAAAAAAAAACTAAAATTAAAATAAACTTAAAATGAATTTAAATAAATTAAAAAAATTACCAAAATAAAATAAAATGAAACAAATAACAAAATCAATTAATACAACTTATAATAGAATTAAATTAAATTAATTTATTTAAACTAAAATATCACAAAATAAAATGAAATGAAATAAAATAAAAAAAAATAAGTTAAAGAAATGATATCAAATATAACGAAGAAAAGAAAAAAATAAAATAATTAAAAATCAATAAATTAAAAAATTAAAATAAAATAAAGCAAAATAATATATAATACAATTAAGTGAAATTAAATTTAATTGAAAAACTTTGGCAAAAAAAAAATAAAATAATTTAAATAAAGAAATTGAAATAAAGTAAAAAAGGAATAAAGTAAACTACGTTAAAGTGAAAAGAAACAAGTAAGAAAATTAGTCGCCAAAAGATCGGTTATCGGTAGGAGATCTGTTAATTGGGAGTAAGATTATTTCTAGATTCCTGTGAGACATTGTAGATAGGCCTTTAGTGCGGAAGGAAAGTAATATGCCCACGAAGAATGGTTAAATTGTGTTGAATGCCAAGTAGGGAGTGTGGAAAGCAAAATAGCGTTATAAGGAACAATGGCATATTTGTTACGTGAATATAATACAGCAGAGTATAAAGGTTACTACAATGATGTCATTTAATAAACATACCTTTCTTACTCCAATATCTGGCTGTGCTTACTTTAATGCATTTCAATTAAATTACCATTTAACTATGAATTTATTCGCATTAAACGATTTGGTCCCCAAAGACTTTAGTTGATCATAATGAAAGTACTATGGACACAGATGCGCCATCCATGCACCAACTGCTAGTAGCAGATTTGGGTTTTATTGTCTGATGTATGTCTGTATATAAATGTATATATATGTTCTCACATTATCATTAAAACCTACATAGATATATATATAATATGCCTGAGTAATATAATAAATAAGTCTTCTGAGGCCAACAATAAGATAGCAATGGTAATGTAAAATGCGTTGGCACATGCGTTAATGCGCCTAAGGGTATGCTATACGATTTATTATTTAAATAATTATTAGGCAGCGAAATATGACAATGCAGCGTATTGACCAGTGCAGGTGTAAAAGTGTAGGTGCATTTGTTTGGCTTTGATTTAGCGATTAGCGT